AAAGTCTTTAACACCCTTGACCCTTTCGGGGGGTTTTTCACCCCTTTTTTTTTTTCCCCCCTTGCCCCCCCATATTTTTTTGGGAAATTTCTCCTCCCCCCTCCCCCCCAGGGGATATGCCCATTTCAGCTTCCTTAGGTTTTTTCCCGACCGGGGGGAGGGGTTCCCAAATTCCCCCCGGAGGGCCCCATTTTTTTTGCCCTGGGGGGGGGGGGGGGGGGGGGGCAGTTTTTCGCACAAAGAACCGCGTTCAGAGACGAAACGGGGCAGGAAGAATACGACGAGATTTTTTTTCGGGACAGGTAAACCTCGAGAAACGCTCTTTTTTACTTCAGCTTAGTGCATGTCTACGGTATTCGAGAGAGACCTCGCACGGTACTCTGGGAGCAACCGCTAGCCCTGGGATGATCGTATCAGAGTTAAGATAACCCGAAGCCTGGCTTCCGAGTTAGACATGCGCGAATGTCCGAGCCCGAACAAGTTACTGCTACAATCTTCTGCTGAGATTCAAATTCTCTTCGTGTTTATTCGATACTGCACACACAGGCTTTGATGGCGATGCCAGAGGCTGGAGGAGTCAACCAGATGGCCGGCGCTCAGGGTTTTGGAGGGGCAGGGGCCGGCAGGTTTGCTGGTGCTGGTGGCATGATGGGAGCGGGCGGGGGGGGGCAGGGCGAACCTCTCCGTGTCACTATCGCCAACCCCAACGCGATGAAGCAAAATGTGAGCCATGTCGTGTGTCTCCTTGGTAGCCGCCCGCGGGTTTTGTATAGAGCATGTACGTGAAGGCCAGGGATAGGTTGTGCGGGGGAGACAGGAGAGCGGAGACCGAGGGGAATGACGAGAAGAGAAGAGAAGGTGTGGGTGTCATGGTGGGTGTTATTTCACCTGAAGAGTGAAGCCCTTCCGGATGAGGTCTTCGTGTTTAGATCTGTTGGTGTCTCTTTTGTCAGCGCTCTCCCACCGCCGTTCCAAGGCGCTACTGACGCGGGGTCGGCTGCGGTCACATCGTGTGTGGCATCTTCCAGAGCCCGGGCAGGTAGTAGGTCGCTTGGTGCGCATCCGCTGACACTCGTGTGTGCCTCGGTTCCCGCGCGCTTTCTGCGGGCTGTTCCGTTCCCAACGATCGAGCAGTTGTTTGGGCTGGTGCAGTTCACGGTGAAGTGGTTCTTCATCGCGGTGATCGTGTACAGCCTGTTCGACCTCGCGGCCAACTCCAAGCTCGTGGCCGCCCCCAGCGTGCACATGGCCGAGACGAGCGACAAGACGTTTGACGACGTCGTTGGCGTCGATGAGGTGGGGAGGACATGAAGATCTTGATTGGAATCAAGCTGTTTCTGAGCGCTGTGCGCGGTGGAAGAAAGGATCGGGTCCCGTGGAATAGTTTTATCCGTTTCTTTGGGACAACAAGATGGGCGGGAAGAAAATGCTGGGACGTCGGGGGTTGGCGAACGTGCTCGCACCTTCGCGCAACCGAGCACTATCAGTACGTGTTTGGCGATGATCAGAGAAGATGTGTGGCTGGATCTTGGCCTCCAGCAACGGAGGAAAGGCTCCTTTCGCGAAAGACTCGATTTTTTTTTATTTTTTACAGAAATGTTTGTGGGTAGAGACGATCTGCGTGTGTACATTGTGTGCCTATGCTTCTTTGGGTACGCAGCCGGTCCAATGAACGGTGGGGTTCCTACGGCAAAGGCACTGGGCTTTGTTTTATTTTGTGCAACCTTCCCTTCACATCTTCGTGTGTAAGCCGCAAGCATTCCGTGCCGCATGCGGCACCACGCCCCCCGCTCGTCGTGCGTATTCACAAATCGTTCCAATTTGCCGGTGCTGGGATTGGAACCGGAATTATTGCCGTCAATAGGCCAAGTCGGAGCTGGAGGAGATCGTGATGTACCTGAAGAACCCCCAGATGTTCACGAGGCTGGGAGGGAAGCTGCCGCGGGGGCTGATGTTGACGGGACCACCGGGAACAGGTAGGTGAAAGGAAGGAAAAGAAAGAGGTTCTTGGGGTTTGTCTCACAACAGCGTTTTTTTGTTGTTGTGCGGGATGGAGCAGAGATGCGATTACTGTACCTGTCTGGCTCGGGTGTGGGGTAAGAGGTGTGTACGTGGTGTAAAGGGCCGGAGAAGGCACGGCTTGATGAACAAGATGCCTTTCGAACGAATCTCAAGCAGGGCGATATGTCCACCCCCTCCCAACAGCGTGCTGCCTGGGGCCCTGACATCGATGGATGTGCATCAGCAGCATGGGGAAGGATTGGCACGCTTTTTTAGTTTGAATGGTTCCTTCTCTTTCCAAAGTGAAGAAGTGATACAATAGCATGCGGAAGTTTCTTTGAACAGCGGCCGGTTTCCGCGCCTGCAGGGAAAACGTTGCTGGCGAGGGCTATCGCCGGAGAGGCGGGCGTGCCGTTCTACTACTCGTCGGGATCGGAGTTCGAGGAGATGTTCGTTGGGGTCGGCGCCAAGGTACGGGGGGCGGGGAGAGGAAATGCTCGAACTAGGCTCGGACCTATGGGACGGAAATCAGAAAGGGGAATGTATTTTTAAGGCAGTTTTTTTGAATGGCTCTCGCGCTCCACGCCTTCTCCTTCTCTTTATCCTTTTCCCCCCGCCTCCCCCTTTGCCGTTTACCCTTGCTTGCACCCTCGAGGTAGTCTTTGAAAACCCCGTTATCGCACCTCTACGCCTTGCTCTTTTTCCCTCTTTCGCCTTCTCCTCCGCCTCGCCCTTAACCCTTCCTTGCACCCTCGGTGTTCCTGCTGCCTGTGTCCGTGAAGAGAGTGCGAGAGTTGTTCGCCGCCGCGAAAAAGACGGCGCCGTGCATCATCTTCATCGACGAGATCGACGCCATCGGCTCCTCTCGACAGCTCCGGGACAGCTCTGCCTTGAAGATGACCCTCAACCAGGTAACGCTGACGTGGTAGGTGCGCGTGGTGTCATCGTTGGCGGCGTTCGTCTCTGGACGACGGCAAACACACGGCCGCCAGACCACGCTCGACGATATTGTTTCGCGCTCTCGAGTGTCCTCGCACGAAGCGCGGCCATACCTTTCTCTTTGAGAGCCGGTGCTCTTGCCGGGTTGCCTTTCCAACCATGTGCGGTGCTACGTACACGCCGTGGTGATGTGATGTGATACTAATAGAACACCGACGTTGACCCGGGCGCAGCTCTGTTTGGTGCGGGTCGTGTCGCGGTCAGCGCTAATTAGTACTGTTCACACAAAATGTGCGTCTGGCCACACGTCTCTCTGCGACTCAGCCATGCACCGTGTGTCGCACTGCTCCTGCGTTTGTGCACCAACTGCGCGCATACCCGCGCACCTGCTTCTGTCGGCACACTCTGCCCTGCTCGTCGGCGCGGCGAACTGAAACACGGCCTTTTTTTTCTCATTACCCCTCTGTCCCCCTCTCCTTTGTCTCGTGACCTTGGGCGCCAACGACAACAACAACAACTAACCTCCGCGTCAACAGCTGCTGGTGGAGATGGACGGATTCGACCAGAACAGCAACATCATCGTCATCGCCGCGACCAACTTCCCCCAGACCCTGGACCACGCCCTCACACGCCCCGGCCGCTTCGACAAGCACGTGGCGGTGCCGCTGCCCGACGTCCGCGGCCGCGAGCAGATCCTGGGCCTGTACACGTCGCGCACCATTTTGGACTCGGCCGCTAACCTTAAGGCGCTGGCGCAGGGCACCCCCGGGTTCTCCGGCGCTGACCTGTCCAACCTCGTGAACCAGGTGGGGTGGGTGGGCGGGGCAGGGTAGTTGGTGAGGCGTCGCCACGGTAGGCATGTATACGGAGAGAGCGGACGAGACCCTTTTCAAGGGTGAGAGTTGAGGGCGTTGTCGACTACGACCGTACCGCTGTAAAGGCAGCAGTCGGTTTTTGTTGTTGCTTGCTGTCTCTTTCGTGAGTGAGGTGGATGGTTGGGACCGGCACGCGGAGATTGTCACCGCACACAGGCAGGCGTTCATTGCGAGAGGGAGAGGTGGCGTTGATGTACGACGTTTCTTTTTTTTTTTTTTGCGTCCTTCCTTTTACGGTGCGATTCTCGGTCGGTCAGGCGGCCGTGAAAGCAAGCTTGGACGGGGCGAAGGCCATCACGACGGAAGCCTTGGAGTGGGCCAAGGACAAGATTCTCATGGGGGCGGAGCGGCGGTCGGCGGTCATCAGCGAGGAGACCGCCAAGTGCACGGCGTTCCACGAGGGGGGACATGCCATCGTGGTGAGGGAGGGCGGGAACACCTGCAGGTTCTGTTGTGACGACGTCGAGCGCTCTCAATTAATTGTTGGCGTTTGTTGCCATGGTGCTCTTGTGTGCTGCGAGGAAGTCGGCATGCTTTCGCGCCGGCCCGAAATCATCAGGCGAGGCGTGCCCACCTTATTTCTGGTTTTTGTCTCGGCAGCGGTCGTGTTCCTTTATGGGTTTTAGTGTAGCGACTCTGCTCGAGATCATTCCCGAAACATGGTGGCAATCGTCGCGTGTTGTCGAAGATAAGCGAGAGCAGGGCGAGCAGAGCGATATCTACCAGGATTCATATCCGCTCGCTTCCTCGCTTTGTCTGAGAGCTTGCGGAATTTGGTACCTTGTGGGCTCCCGCTCTATCTGTGCGGTGTGCTTCTAGAAACACAGCTTCGAACAAGTGTTGTCTGTTTCGTTTTTATTTGTCCCTTGGCGCTCGAAACGTGTTTCACATTCACAGGCGTTGAAGACGGTCGGGGCGCACCCGGTCCACAAGGCGACCATCATGCCGCGCGGGAACGCTCTGGGCATGGTGATGCAGCTGCCGGAGGGGGACCAGACCAGCATGTCGAGGAAGCAGGTGACCTACATTACATACATTGCTCGCTGTGAGCGGCTGGGCATTCTGCTCGGGAAATGTTTGTTTCTCTGCTGTTTTTCGGAAACGAGCATGGTTGATGCTTTCACCTATCCGTTCCGCTCCAAGTCTGTCCTGAGTGAAGTGCAATTTTGTCGAACCAGGAAACATGTCACGAGACGCTTGTGGGATTCAACGGAGGAAAGGACCTGTCACACTGCTTACTGTCCACGGGTGCTATAAACGGAATTCTCGCTTCGGCATTCGACTACTGTAAGAAGCAGGGGACCGATGGCTGCGGATACCTTCCGCCCCAATGCGTGCTGCTCTTTCGGCCTCCTTGATCTCATGCTTGGTTCACCATCCGTGCGAAAAAAACAGATGTTGGCAAAGATGGATGTTTGCATGGGGGGAAGGGTGGCGGAGGAGATGATCTTCGGCCCGGAGAACGTGACCTCGGGAGCCACCTCGGACTTGGAGCAGGCGAGTGCAACCGTCGAAGAAGTGTTTTGTGAGAGGGTGTTTTACGCGGCGGGACATGAGATATGACCACTCTTTATTGCGAGGGTATTCCTGGACACCTCTCTCTCTCTGTGCGCGGCCGAAAATCAGTTGCTCGTTGTGAGCAATGTTGTACATACTTCTCGTGCTCGCTTCCAGCCAACCACGTAAGCTGTTCGCACTTCGTCCCCGAAAATGTTTTTGTTGAGCGCGGCTCCTCGCATTTTGCGTCATCCGCCCTGCTGTGGGCGTGTGTTGTGTGCGTCGTGTGCCTGACTGCGTGACGCGGTGACAGGCGACGAAGATCGCGCTGGCGATGGTGACGCAGTACGGCATGTCGGACAAGGTCGGCAAGGTGTACATGCCTGACCACCAAAAAGAGGGGCCGGAGATGCGGGCAAAGGTTGACAGTGAGGCAAGTAAATACAGTCCTACTCGAAGAAGAAAATGTACAACAATCAGCATAATTATGCCTAGAAGCTGTAGATAGATTTCTTTCGCGCTTCGTCGGAATGGCGCGTGCTTCTTTGCCGTGGCGCGTAAGATTGTGGTACGACCAGCTTTGTCTTGACCTCCTCCTCCCTGCCATTCTGAAAGCGTGTACCGCGCGCCGTTCACGTCTGGGTAAAAGGAGATAGATGTACAGCAGTGCGCTACTAGACGAGCTATATTCCGGCCGGGCCTTTCCCCCGTGTAACCGACGACGACGCTTGCACCCCCCCCGCGCGCCGCGCGCGCGCAGGTGCGAGATCTCCTGGACAAGTCGTACCAGAGAGCGTGGGCGTGCCTGCAGACGCACCGGCGAGACCTCGACCTTCTCGCGAACGCCCTCATCAAGCACGAGACCCTCACGGGGGCCGAGATCAAGGACCTGCTCCTGGGCAAGCCTATCAAGATGGCCCCGGTGGACGTTAAGACGCGCTCGTCGTCAAAGAGGGCTCCGAGTTCGTCGAGCTCGTCGCCTACTAACCTGCCCGTGGCGAAGAGGCCGGTAGCGACGCAGGACTAAGATACGTAGTTAACGGTGAGAGAGAGAGAGAGAGAGACAGCAGGGCAGTGACGACTCTCTGTTTTTTTTTTTTTGAGGCGATTGATTGGTTTTTGAGGTTGCGCTGTCGGTCGGTTGGGAGTCTATTGACGGGCGGAGAATTTTTCGTTTGGGTTGTTTGGGTTTGTTTTGGGATGAAAGTGGCGGCCAGGCGCGCGCGGGGCGGGGGCGGGGGCGGGGGGGTCCCCCGCTACTGGCAGGGTGTTGATCGGGGGGCGAGGAAAGCCCTACTGCTTTCGAGACGTGCGTGATTAGGGGGTTGGTTGAATAATGCGAGATTGTCTTTTTTTTTTGTGTGTGTGTTCGGCCTTTGTTTGTGATCTTCTTTTGTGTGTCGCTCTTGTTGTTGAATGAAAAACCTTCTTTTTTTAATGAGCTTTGGTGTGACAGGTCAGTTGGGAGAAGCAACCGCTCTGCTCCATAGCAAATAGATGGGGCTGAATAACGCACGGTCATCACCGTGTGCATGGCAGGCGCGCGTGCATGTATCCTAGACACAGTGTTCTTGTAGAAATGAGGTGCATGTATCTGTCGACGCTTTCTTCTGCAACCCAAACATCCAAACCTTGCATGTAGAAGCCGGCTTCCATCTGTTAGATATGTTTTTTTTGTTTCCGTTCGTTCTATTTTTGAGCAATAACTTGTGGTGATGGTTGATAGAGACCTTCCGCCTCATCGCGGTAGTTATTCTGTAGGGCGAGGACGGATCCACGTGCGTATGGCGGCGGCATTGTGAAAGGAGGAGACACTAATTAATGCTGTACTTTTTTCGTCTCTGGTGTTACAAGTTTTTGGCAGTTGAGGGACAGAATGGGCGTGCCAGATGGTGTTGTTGTGCTAATAATAATCGTTTTTCAAGAGATCGAGCAGTTTGGTGTAACAGGCCACAACATAGTGTGCCGTGGTACGCACGCTGCCGTCCACAGACAACAGGACCGTCGGAAAACAGATTGTCGACGTTCTGTAGCAGCGTGAAATGAGCACGGGGGCCCAATACCATGCCATCAGTCAGTACTCAACCTCGCCCCCCCCCCTGGCTGAAGCGAGTACCATCCCCGCAGCAAGACACTTTTTTTCTGTGGCCTACGCACTTAATCGTACGAGAGGATGACGAGTACAGTATTCGCCGAAAACGCGAAGTGTGATTATATGTTGGACACCCCGTGGCGTTTTTTGTTTTGGTCTCGTCCTCGCGGAGGGGAGGGGTAACGGTAGCGGTGCAACAATACAGTAGCAGCCAAGGCCGTGCTGACTACCCAAGCTACCGACCTCTAAAGTACTAACAGGGTCCTCGAGCGCTACAACCGCAGACAGACCACAGCAGCAGCGTCGAGAAGAGTTTAAAGGGCTACCGTGCGTACGGTCCGTTTTGGGGTGGTTCTCGAACAGTGGCAGCCTGTTGGAGCCATCTATCTCCAACACAAAGGTCAAGTCTGAATCCATCATTTGCCATGCACTCTCTGCTCTCAAGTGACTAACTTCAATTCAACCGATACCCTCCGCGCATGCTGCAAATTAGCAACATCGCGAATTATCACCCCAAAGGTTACCACGTCACATGCAGTCAGCTACCGAAAATGTATTCTCAGTTTGGATCCGACGAGGAAGCGCGGTTGGGTTTTAGTGATACTGGGAAGCAAATGCGATTGTCCATCAACTCAAATACAAGAACGCGCTTTGCTTCAGCACATGCCACTAGTTTTAAGAGCAACTACGTTGTTGCTCTCCGCTCTACAATGAACACTATTTGCAGGATTAGACTATGGGTAACGCCTGCATTCTCACCAAGGTTGGTTTTGATTCGAGGAAAACATTTCAAAAAATATAAGAGCCGATACTTCTTCTGTGCCGTGAAACCCCCCAGAAGGTTTTTATCACGTTCGATTGATTCGTGTATTCCCCCACCCCCCTCTCCAAGCACAGTCGAGTCCCGTTTTCAAGGCAACTGGTATCATCCCCGTACAGTACACCTTGCAAAAGGCGCGGAACTACCTCTCTCTTGCTTGCCCCATATATGTACATGCACAAACTTGCCCCACTCGCGAAAATCAATGCGTTTCAGTCACCGTTCCTATTGGTTCAGATTCGTATCCTCGTGTGTTACCAACACCATTTTTGCATGCATGCTTAACAAGGATCACGTTTGTGTCGTCAGTGATTCGGCAGACCGGCCGTCATGGTGCCTCCGCGGATGGATGTGTCGCCAAAACAATCACCCCTCGGCGAAGAACGTGTCCAGTCGGGCGTTCACGACGTCGCCCCCCCGGCCTCGCATCAGCCAGTGCGAAGCCTCCGTCACTTCCACGACAGACGAGCCCTTTCGCTTGCTGATCTTGTCCACCCACCAGTCAGCGTGGAACCTCTGGAAGCGGGGCCAACGAGAGAAAGCACGCCACAGACAGACGCCGGCAGGAGGGAACACACGGCGCAGGACAAGAGCAAAAAATCGATGCACAACACATGCTTGGAGGTAACGGGCCTTGCGCGGGGGGTCAGGTAGGTGTCGTTTCAGAATAGAGAGTACGCTACCCCCGCTCGCTCACCCCGGTTTGATGGGTCAGATAGCGGGTTGTGCCTTCCAGTACGACAAGCAGTGTCTAAGCACCAGGCAGAGGAGTTCAACGCAAGAAACGCAAATGAACAGATCTTCCGGAGACAAATCCAAACCGCGGTAACATGATAGTACTTTTTGCAGAAACAACATGCGACGGGGTCGGCACACAACCAACTTCTCAATTTGCCGGACAAAAAGACAAAACGCCACGGTATATATACTGTACAACACACCAAGCAAGGCGCGCTACAAGAAAAGCAATTCTCACCATCAATTTCTTCATGCCTGCCGACCCGTACATGAACAGAACGGGGCACCGCGGCATGAAGGGCCCCATGCCCAAGCAAGTTTGGATCTGTGACTTCCAGAAGTGGATGTACGGGTAGCAGACACTCGCCCTCGCGACAGTGGAAGCGGCGGGGGCGCCCGCTAGGCGAGCAAACCCCCTGGCCATTGCGTCGCCGATGCGCCCGCCAATCAGGAAGGCGACCATGAGATACGTCTGGTACAGCGCGATCGACAAGAGGCTCAAAGACGGCCAGAAACTCAGTCCTCCTCCCACGTCCAGCGCCACCAACTTCTTGACCAGATCGGGGCGATTTTTCTCTAGCATGAAGGCGTAAAAGCTGATACGGTGGTTGGCGACCGGGGGAGGGGGGGCGCTGTTTAGCACACACAGGGAGGAAGCGGTTCATGAAATTGTTATCACGGTCAAAAGTAGCGGAGGGGGCTGGCTCCACGCCTCAACTTTTGCGGACAGATCGATCTCAAATCGGCCGCCTGAGGGGAGAGCACTCGCTGCCGGATATTCCTGATCCGGAGGTTGGCTTCAAGGAAGGGCCGTGAGACGTGACGAGGAGAGATTCGTTGCTCACTGCTCCTCCTCCTCCTACCACCTACCAGCCCCAGTCGTGAGCGACGACGAAGACGGGTTTCCCTTTCCCGACGTCCTCGATCGTCCTCTCCAGACGCTTGGCCACCTCCTCGAACGAGTAGCCCCACTTGCTGCTGCTGGCGGTACCGCCGTCCCCGTCCTCATCGCCGCTGAAGCCCGGAAGGTCCGTGGTGACGCAGCGGTACCTGTCTTTGAGATGAGCAACCTGCCGCGACCAAAAGAATTCGGCGGCATCGTCACGGGCAGAGGGAAGAAGGTGGAGGAGGGGATGAGCCACACACGGTGCAGCGCGAAACATACATACATACATGCGATCTAACACTTCGTTAACGCGATAGTGTGGGCGGCCGCTTGACAGAGTACGAACGTCGGCGAGCCAGCCCTCCTTTCCGTTGCAACGCGACCGCTTTTCGTTGCCGTATTTGACCAAACAGAAGTACTGGTAGCTGACAACCCAGCGTGATTGCAGCCAACAACGCAGCCCTGCTGACGGCATTTTGTCGCCTATCGGGACAGGCGTCCAATGCTCCTTATCAGGACGACAAGTCGGGCACTTCCAATAATCTTCCTGCTGCTGTGACGCCACGCTAAAGAAAACAATTTCGACGGCCCTACGCTGCTGTACAGCACACCACAAGCACGGCACGACCGCTCATCCAAGTTGAAACCACGGGCACGACCATTCATCCTAGTTAAAAACTTAAAAACGAAGAAGATGCCCACTGGTGTGCTGGTACACCGAGAGCAGTAGAGAACCGTAAAGCCGATGCCAATCATGGTACAACTACTGTTGTCAAGGGAGTCACCGACAAATATAGCCTACAGTATGCGCGCGCGAACAACAAGAACAAATAAATAATGTTTCCGCCAATCGCGACGGAATGTTCTATCGCGGAGCACGTGGCAGAGGTGTGCCCCGAACCTCTCGTTGGCAGGCTTTGCCTGGCCTCGAAGCAGGAACCTATATCTGTACTACTGTAGATTGGACAGCGGGGCTTCAATTTCATGGCATGTAGGCAACTTTTCACGCAAGCACTTCGAGATCGGAGGTAAACTACAATGGATTGGTGTGTTCCGACGAAAAGTCACCAACAATTAATTATGCCCGCGCGCGCAAAAAAGTAAGAGCAGTACAACAACAGTAGTAGTCCTTGTTTTTTTTTCTTCTCACATTATTGGACTCTGTCGTCTGCCCCTCTGGCCCCCATCCTCCACTTCTACTAGCTAGACGACCCAACCGGGGTCACATAGGAGGGGGTGGTTGGACCCCCTCCTGCGGTTCCTGCCTGAGATATTTTTATCGCGAGAAGGGTGCAGCAATCCCTTCCCTCGCGACTTATGAAGTACTGTAGAGAATCGATCACCCATCATTCATCATTATAGATGGTCAAGAATTGTCGAAAGAGCCGACAAAGAGCAAATATAGACTATGTGCGCCCGCGTAAAGAGAGAAGAACAAATATTGTACTGATCGAAGACCGGGCGGAATACCAGCCTCTTCGGGGCAGGCGACAGAGATGTGCCCCGACCCACCCTTTAGTTGGCAAGCTAACCCCGGGCTCGAAGTGGGTAGTCCCGTTCTAGATTGGAATTTGATGGCGCTAATTGTTCGAGATTGGATTTTTTTCGATATTGATGCATGGATGGATGCATGCATGTGTTCCGACGAGGAGAGAGTCACCAATCATCAACTTGTTGTGTGCGTGCGACATGCGGCGGAATAAACTCCCCCGCGTTGGAAGGTTGCAGCGTGTGGCCCGAACCTATCGTTGGCAGGCGAAATTGGTAGACACGCAGCTATTCCAGCGTCGAAGAACCTGGCAATCCAGCTGCAGATTGGACGGGGCTTCAATATGGTGGAAGAAAGGCAACTTTTAGGTACAAACTCATCGAGATCGGAACAATTGGTGCCGGAAGCACCTGCTGCATGCTCGCTCGAGGCCGGTCACCGACACAGCCAAACGTTAACAACGCAGGAGGCGCCAATCAAGCTGAAACTTGCTAGGGGATCCAAAGCAGTGCAGGACGGCCGATGGTCTGATTCCTGGCGCCTCGGACGTTCGGGACGAGAACGCGCGTCGTTCGGAGATTCGGAGTGAACGGCGGCAGACTGACAGACAGACAACTGTGAGACCTCTAGAGACCGTAACGGTCTCGTAGAGGAACTTCGTTGGGGCAAATATTGAGAAAAAATAGCAGTTCGTGTGTCTGACGGCACCAAGATTACATACAAGTACCACGTCCTCACAAGGTTGCGAGGATACCTACGGAGCAACTCAGCCACCCTGCTCTTTTTTTTCTTCACTTAAAAGAACAGCGCTCACAGGACTTGTTGCCGTTTTCTCGAACCCGTGGTCATACAGAAGGGTTAAGGAGGACCCGATTCGCAGGGTATCCGCCGATTGACTTTTTCCAGAATCGGTACACCTTCGCAGTTTCTTCTCCCTGAGGCCCCCTACCCACCCCTCCTGCGGTATACTTTGCCTTCGACTTTTGGTGCGAGAAGAGTGCAGCACTCTCTTCCCTCCGTGTACACACGAACTATGTATTTAGCGCTTTCCACCCAGGCCAGGAATGGAAGCGAGAGAAAAGCTCACCTTGTAAGAAAAGCTCCTATATAGAATTTAGAGTGTCAACACATTTTATTTCCCCGCCGGCGGATTTTTACGATTTACCCACCCGCTGGATCTCGTTCGAAGTTCAATGGCGTGATAAGCTACCTACATAGTCTACGTCCTGGTTTGATAAGACTCGAATCGACAGCTGTGCAGGACACGAACGATTTGTTGCTGCAATGGCTGGGCTATCGTGGGACCCATCGTGGAGTCGGAACGGTTCAGGTACTGTGGGGGGTAGGGTAAAACGCCCACAACTCTGTAGACTACAGCAGTAGAATAAATACTCCGTGTACACATCATGTAGTCAACGTGCGCAACGCGGTGGGGTTCGAGCTCTCGCTTTATTACCCCATCACTTGGATCTCGCCCTAAAAGACTCGAATCGGCACACATGCACTGGTAGGAGAATGTGATTGATGCGCGCACAACGCACAGCAGCGTGAAGCCTGCTCTGAAATATACTTCAACCAAGTTTGCTCGCCTGTGCGTCCCAGAGAGTGTGGTCATCGGGCCAACCGTGCACAAAGACGACGGTAGGTCCGGATTCGTTGCCTTCAGCAAAACTCCTGAGGGTTATGCCCACCATGATGAAGAGAGAGTCTTGTGGATGCAACAGGCAACCTGGCCGATCCTGGGTAGAAAGGGGAATGAGGAATGAGGGACACGCTCTCGCAGCGTGTCCTTGGTCCCGCCGCTGTCCCGCTCTCACGCTCGAAAGAGAACCAAAACGACGTTCCGTTTCGGACGTGCAAATCTTCCGAATCTCGCCGCACCCATCAGCAGCGGCGTTTACTGCTTTGACAGAAGCTTCCCAACACGGACATCGTGGATCTTGTCAGACTTTAGCCCATCGCTCCCATGTGTGCAGGATGTACGTGGTGGCATGTAGACCTCGTATGATTATCGTGTGTACTTAGCAACAGCAAGTGAGCTTTCATTCAAGGAGTGTTGACCGGCGTCCAGGATCTCGCATCGGGACGCAGATGCAGCAAGAGGCCGCGGCTGGCGAGGCCAGATCTAGGACACGAGAAGCCTGCTGGCCAAAACAAGACGTAGGTCACGATGAGAGGTATCGGCCGTACCTGTAGTTGCTTGGATCTCGGTGTCTTTCGCGTACGTACCTCACTGCACCTGAGTAAGCGCATATGGAGAAGACGCGAAGGATTCTTTATGGCGATACATGTAGCACTCAAGATGCCAAAAACAATTCGACAGGCTATTACGAACAACCACTTGATGGTGTGTAGCGTCCGTTGTGCGCACGAGTCCACCGCCTTCAGGTTGGTCACACCAGAGTTGCCAACGTACACCCTTCAGCGGTCCAATACGTTGTTTCTTTTTTCTGGTACGCATCGTAGCAAGACTACGCGTTTGAATCTGGATCCCTATTCTTCAGGTGAAGGCCTTAAGGCAAGCACTGAAGGATGTACCTGCCGCCCTGGACAAAAACGAGCGCTTCAGGAGGGTGTCGGCTTTGGTAGGAGGAAGTCACAGCAAGAAGGCGTGCTACGAGAAGTACAAAGAACTGAAAGCGGAAGCAAAGCTGAAACAGACCACGCCACGAACATCGGTCTCAGGAGCGTCGCCTGGCGACTCTCGGGATCGCCGTGCTGCCAACAAAAAAAAAGCGTGCGCCGGCAACGACGGCGAGATAATATCCGTGTCACCATCCAGTGCTGGACAGCAGCAGGTCGAAGTCACAAGTGTGAGCACGGCTGCCGGGTCCGTGACCTCTTCTACCGTCAGTGGGCTGTTCTCCGGGAGAAGCAGCGCTACCACTCTTTCCTCCTGGTCCTCCAATTCGGCCGATCTTTGTGCAAGGCAGGAGCAACAACGGCAGGAACACATAAGATCCATGAAGTCGAATGCCTTGTCGTCGGTGTCATCGGGACTCCCGGAGAGCGACATGCTAGAAACCCAAGGCAACTTTGAGGGTGACCGCAGAGGGTACTACCCTGAAAAGAGCAACAGCAGGGCTAGTAATGACAGCATCGACAGACCTACTAGCCTCGCTGGGGGAGGCCCACAAACGACCAAGCACGAAGAAGAGCTGATGGAGGTTGAAGAAGTCGACGTGGAAGATTTCTGCCTCGACGAGGAGCTAGTCGTGGAGCCACGACGCAGGGTGCGGACGACGACGACGACGACGACGCCACACACAAGGCGAGCAGAAGGCGGACGCCAAGATTGGAACCCGGCCGCCGGAAACAGTGGCGCGGGCTTTCACCGCACAGGGCAGGGAGACAGCCAAGCAACGACACCCTCGTCCGCTGGAGGCGGCGGCGGTGGAGGCTCGGGTGGACTTCCGGGAAGGACAGCGGTCACGGAGGTACAGGCGAACGGCGTGCGGGAGCTGGTGTTCGGGAACCCTTCCAAGAGGTTCAACGACGCGTGGAGAGAGCAGGGGTTTTTCTTCTGCGGCGAGGATTTTCTGCGGTACGGTTTGGTGCAGGCGGAGGGCGGGCCGTGCGGCGTCCTCGCGGCGGTTCAGGCATTCGTTCTTGAGGTGAGCAAACTGTATGCGCGGCCCTAGCAGAGGAAGCCAGCGGAGAGGGCGGGGTCGTCAGCCGTCGAACGCGGTACGCTCGGGGTGCACGAAGTGTCTGGGTGATGTCCACCCAAGCATCTTAGCGGCGCTCGTTCCTGGTCTCAGCATACGTGCGTGCTGCGCGCGATTTGTCCTCTAGCTTGCAGAGATGAACTCCACTTCTCTATCTTGGGGACTGATTTGTTTCAGAGAGAGAGAGGTAGACTGGCCGCTATTTTTATACGTACGTTGTTTGCTAACGGTCCGTACTCGTACGAGTCGAAGGGGAGCTCGTGAGGAGTGGCAGCAGCTGTTAGGCTGTGTGTCTGATGCATTTTTCCACCCGATCTCCATGCGTCCCTCTCCAGGACCTGATCTTCGGCGATTGTGCAGGGTGTGACTGGAGGAACCCCAAGAAGTCTCAGCGGGAGCGTTCACTAACGTCCGCTCTGAGCACCATCATCTGGAGCGCAGGCGACGGAAACACTGGTGCGTTTTGTTTGTCAACAAGAAGGTTTAGATGAATCGAAGCCGAAGGAAGTTCACAGATGGAGAACCAGCCGGGGGAAACCAAACGAGTCATTGCGAGGACGGGGGTAGAAGTAAAACGCTAACTACTAGCCCGGAGTGTCGATGGGAAATTCTCAGGGTTATTTTTGTATCCGCTCAAACAAGTCTGATGCCGAGCGTTTCAACATCGTTTGACTGGGCCTTGGTTCTTGAAGCTGTACTGGCTGTGTCAGAAGGGGGAGCTACTGTGCAGCGCTCGAGCCGCTACCGGCCGGACGGCTTCACGGAGAGGGTCAAGCTGATCCACGTGGGCAGCAGAAGCGCCCTGGAGGGCGTGGTGCGCGACAACCTGCATCACTACACAAATAGAAAGGTGACCGACTTCTTGTTGTGTTTGGTGTTTTGCCGCCATCCCGTTTGCTTTCTTCGTCGGTCCTACTGCCACCTTGCTCTGCGTATTATTCTGGCAATAGCGTTATATTCTGGTAACAGGGATATGCCGGGAGGGGGGGGGGGGGGGGGGGGGGGAACCTCATAGTCGTGCATGCCGAAGTCGTTTGACCATTGACCTCGCATCCCTACAAAGCCGGGACGGAGCACGCCGGGTTCTCACCGGGACCAGGCTCTCACATCACCAAGCGCGAAGCGCCGTGAGGTATTTGGCGAGTCGCATGAAGGGTGAGCTGCATCCTGCTAAGGGTGTTCGGCATCTTGGGCTTACTTCCTTGCGTACGGATGACAGCTACGTATGACTTAGTTTATTTTCTGGTGCTTTTCACTTCCATTGACAGTTGTAAGCACTGTGTAACTGCCTCGGGGAAACTTGCCCATTTTACCACAACGGGGTGCGTTCTTCCCCCGTTGCGGGGAGGGGGGGTTTTGGCCCCCCCACAACTGGTTCTACTCGCCCCCCATTCTTGGTTCCCGCCAAAAAAAAAACGGGGTAAAAAAAAAAACCGGTACCCTGGTTGTCGAGTTCACGAAGTGAATGGGCTTGTTTTACAACGTCGTCCCCAAGCGACGAAAACCCAAACCCCGATGGCAAACCCCGGGGGGGTTGGGGGGGGGGGTACTCATGTTTTGCATGCCTTTAGCTGTTGGACCAATGGCCACGCGTCCTC